CCAGATGGGCACCGATTTGAAGTCTTCTCTTTTTGGATTGAATTTGGGATGCCATTTTTGAATCACAAAAGGCTTGCCTAGCAAGAACCACACTCCCCTCGTCCACACCATGTCAAGATCTTCAGAACAAGAAAAGCGAAAAAGGAAGAAACCGTCGCTAAGAGAGATCATTTTTACCGAACCTTTCAAAGCCCATGTTTTTTTGATAGCTCCAAGTAAAGCCTCATAGTAAGGCCTTCAGCCTATAGAATATCCTACCAAACAAAGCTTCAAGTTAGCAGCTCCCGTAGACAGCTTAACTCCAGAAAACGGAACAATTTTCGGCTCGTCAGGAAAGTGGGAAAGATGTAGCTCCGACTCAGAAGCTCCATCAACAGTGCAAGCAGCTAACCAGTTGCGGTTTGGTGGAGGAGAAGCTCCACCCAAAGCAGCAACAAGAGGAGGGAAATCTGAAGGTGGAAGAGCAGAGCCCATGGAAAAAGGCTAGAGATGGAAGAGAAAAAAGGGGAGAGGCCTCTCTGGCGAAGCCGGAGAGAAGAAGAAGGTGAAGTCGACGCAAAATGGCTGAGCGGAGGGAAGGAAAAAAACCCTAGCGCAACGCAAAAATCCCCATAATTACAAACTTATTCCAATTGATTTCACTCCTTCAAATTTAATTATTTTTTATAATCAGTTGGAAACTTATAATATGGATATACGATCTGACGTTTAATTTTTATTGTTAAAAGATATTAAAAGTCTTGCTAAAAAATATGATTCAAAGTAAGAAGAAAATACTATCCCTTTATTTTGAGGCTTTTATAGCTAGTAACATTTATAGGTGATTGCGTGCTTCTGTATTATTGGAGATGAGTCGATAGGAGAAGGAAATTGAGGGACAATAGTGAGGTGATAGTGGTCATGAGATTGTGGTTGTGCAATAGTGATTAGAAGATGATAATATGAAGATGGTAGTCACACAATAGTAGTCTGACGACAATGAACGAGCGATGATAATTTGGTCAAGGAAGTCCAGCGACAACGATTGCTGGCGGTACTCAATAGCTCCAATGACAGGCATAGCTCTAGAAATCTTTAAATATTTAACCTCTCTTCAATTTCAAGTTAAGGTCCAATCTTCCCTTTATGTGAAGAATGAGTATCTATTTATAAGTTTCTATAATAATATTTTGGTGATTTAACTAAAATTTTAAAAACAATTCAAGATTTTTTTTTTTGACAAAATTAATTTAAAGTTTTTTAGATGCTCCTCTTCTTGTGTGCATATTTCATGAAAAAATTTCAAACTTTTTGATGAAGTATTTATTTCTTAAAATTTTCTTGAGTGGTTGTTGGTTAGTAGTTCATGCATTGCATTATTATCACACAAAAAAAAAATTCTTTAAAGTCTCAGATGATTGAATTTTTTTAAGTGTACATAATGTCATTAGAAAGAGAATTCATTGATTCACATTCTTCTATTATTTTTTTAATATTTTTTTTTATATTTTCTACCTCTATCTTTTAACTTATAATTTCTTAAATTTTCTACCTCTATCTTTTAACTTATAATTTCTTAAATTTTCAGATGAATGAAATATGTATATCCTCTAAGACTTATACTTTATGAGATTTTGGATGAATAAAAATTATGTCTTTTGAGACTTATGTCTTCATGATTTTTTTGATGAATAAGTTATATTTATCCCTTTTTAGCTTTATGCTTTCAAAAATTTTAGTAGGTGGAGAATCTATATATTCCAATACTTATACATTCTAAGATTTTTGAATAAATAAAATATACGTGCCTTATGAGGTACCTTTAGAGGTTTTGAAAACGAATCTGTATATTTTGGTGCTTATAGGGGTTTAAAGTAGAGATATTGCATGCTAGTTACCTCAAGGGATCTTTCTAGTAAGAACCTTGCCCAACATTAACTTCTCGTTAAGACTTTTTTATCGGGGTGCCTTCTAAGGTTTTTATCTTTTCTTTTGCTCTGCTTAATAATGTTCCCCAAAATTTATACAATAAAATCAGACCGGGCCAACAGGGCTGGCCACCTCCAATGGTGGCTAGAGATGGTCGTCGAGGCCAATGAACGCAACACTAGAATGATGTGTCCACCTCTTAGTTAAGGTGCATTTTCTTTATTTTTCTTCTTTTAAGTATTTTTTTCATATTTATTCTTGAATTTTTTTTCTATTTTTCTATTTTTCTATTTTTTTCATAAATAAAAAGATTTGTTTACCCTCGACCCCCACTCTAAACATAAATACCACTCACAAGGGTTGGGGAAATGCACTTCGCCTCTCTTTATAGGCTCTAATTCTTTCTATTAAGAGAAATTTGTTCAGTGTCTCGTATTAGCGACATGTGAGTACCTATTCGCAAGCTCCAAAAAATGCTAATCTTGAATCGATGTTACATGTCATGCTCCTCCATCGAGAGTAACAAATTATATATCTTGCATTGAAAGAGTTTTGAGTGATTCAACATCCTCAATGAGTGATCATTTTCCATGCATAATTTGAATGTTGAAAGAAACGCTACTGATTCTTACATAAGATGATAGTCCAAGGAGATTTCATAGGGCATTAAGGATGCCTAACATCATTAATAATGCTTTGAATAAATTTTATTCCCCTTGGATTTGGTCATTTTGTCCCATGGAAGATCCAATTGTGCCTACTTTCCACCATAAGGATATCTTCCGGTTTATGAGATGAGTTTACATATAAGTTTACGATTTCCCTTTGCTTCTGAATTAATCTATATTTTGATTCCACCTTTGAATAAGAGATTCGTTAACGGTTTGTCCAACGGACTTTTTTTTTTTTAAATATAAAAAAATGATTGGGGTCTTCTTAAAAAATAGGGAAGATTTGATGCTGTGATTAGAGGTGTCAATATTTGACATGATTAGGGTCAACCCAAACCCGAAACGGGTTGGATTCGGGTTCAACATTTCAACCCGTTTCAAAAATCGTGTCGGGTTCGGGTTAACCCTTTGACCCGAAATTGATATGATTTCGACCCGAAAGCCCGATGTTGACCCGGCAACCCTAGATTGACCCGATGTTAACCCGTTTTTGACCCGAAAAGAGGAGATAGACCCGTTTTGACCCGAAAACTAGCAATTTTTTATTGGAAACGGGTCATTTGGGTTCTGTCGGGTTGACCCAGACTCGAAGCGGGTTGGGTTCGGGTCAGGAAAACTGACCCGTTTTCAAAAATGGTTCTGATTCGAGTTGACCCGAATAGTGCCGGATCAGTTTCGGGTTCGATCCGAACCCGACCCGTGACCCGAAATTGACACCCCTATCTGTGATGTTAAGTAAGTTGAATAATAATAAAGGTATTAAGCATTCTTCTCTAAATGTATGCCCTTTCAATTATATATTTCTCAACAGATGTTAAACCATTCATGCAATGGACAACAATGAACGGCTAAATTGGTGAGTTATTTTTTGCCTTCTATTTTTCTTTCTTTGTTTTGCTCATATATAATATTTACTCATTTTAGATGTTTGAAAAAAGAAGAAGAAGAAGAAGATATTGATGTCAAATTGAACATTGTCTTGAATGAGTAGAAATGTGTGAATGGAAAGGAAAATTTCAAAGCTTAGTGATGTACTAATCCAATTAGAAATCAACTAAAAAGTTAACAATATATTTATCTTTTACTATTACCTAACATACATCAAATAATGATTTTAAGCAGTTATTGATCTTTTCGGTCTTGCTCGACAATTATATATACACATATGTATGTGGAAGCAAGGTTGAAGTTGGTCCCTCCCTAAAAAAATTTATGGCTCAGCCACTGATAACATGGAATTCGGATCGAGTTATCAATCATGATGACTTCCATTTGCTGCTAGGTGAAGAAAATGATCAAATCCAAAATAAATTGGTGGATGGATGAGCAAAAATTAGTCAAAATGTGAAAATTTTGAAGACGGACAAAGCAAAGATGATGGATCTTGTGGAGAAAAGAAAGAGGAAATTAGAAGCTTAGCTATTATAGAAGAAGATTTCTTTATTTGTCGCGGAAATTGGAGCTGGATTATTATCCTGAAACATCATAAAAAGATTTCAAAAAATCTTTGCCTTATAAGAGCATGAACAAAACTATATTTAGAAGGCTCGTGATCATATATATGATGTGGAATTGAAAGATTTAGAGCATTAATGTCATGAAGAAAGTTTCATTTTGGACTTTTTGAAAGGAACTCAATAAAAGTGTACAATAGGAAGGGAGAAAATATTAAAGGTTTTTATCCGAGTCGAGCATCCATGGATACTTTCCCAGACAGAGAAGACAACGTGGAGAGATTTTCTATCACAACTTATAGTAATATTTTTGTATGAATGCATTTTGCTTAAATTAATATGAAATAAAGACTTTTATGATTAGCCCATGGATCATATTTCTTTGAATCAACCTCCTTTTCCACATTAATGAATGTTAAGATAGATTTTCTTTTGATCTTAATTTTTCTTAGCTTATTAGGACGGGATGTTCTTCTAAATCTTACCATGTGATTGAAGATATAAAAAGAAATCCACTAAGAGCATTTTGAATATGAGTATCATCAAAATAAATATTTGTCTTATAAAAAATACCATATCACAAGCTAATAGGGCTTACTGGCTGTAATGATAACTGCCCACTTATAATTAGGACTAATTGGGAAGAAAGAAGACAAAAAATAAGTCAAATGTCTATGCAAATTATTATAATGACTAGTAAACCAATTCTTATAAACCACCATTTTTTTGCTTGTTTGGTGGGCGAGTACGGTCGGGAACCCTCCAACCCGTGCTTGATTTCTCTCGAGCGGAAGTGGGGCCCAATCAAGTGCGGGCCAGGAGGTTTCTGAGAGGGTGCCTCTTCTTGGTCAGCCGAGGTTAGTCAACCCGCAGAGCACCCTTTCAGCAGTGGCAGGAGGTGGATACCCCGTCACCCAAAAAAAATCTTATAATTAGATAGCCTAGCTATACACATGCAAGATCCACATATTAATGACTAGCTAAACAAATCATGACTAGTCAAGTAGATTAATTAAAAGGAGAATATTTACATTAATACAAAGGAAATTAAAATTAAATTATGATTAATTTCATTAAAAATACTATAAATAACATAATGTTGGACTAGGACAATGTAAAATGGGTTTAATGATTTAAACACAAATATTAAATATAAAAATAAGGATGAAAGCAAGCGGATCCATAAAATTAATCTCAAATTATGAGGATATAATAATAATTAAAATAAAAGAAAAATACCTCAAAACCATTATATAATAAATATTTAATCTCATTAAATATCTATTAAACGATGTTGGAGAGTTAAAGCGGCGTCACGAAATGATCCTACCTTTATTTGCGGCAATAATACTCAACCCCCCTCGTCCAACAATCCGCCCATGCCATGAACCTGGACGCTTCTCCGTCCAAATCCATCTCCCGGGCTAATATTACATGTTTTACAAGCCTATATGTGATCAGAGAAGAAGAGTAATATGTAAGCTGTCCTATTTGCTGGAGAGAGAGAGAGAGAGAGAGATAGAGAGAGAGAGAATGGAGGGAGGAATCAGAAGAGGAGGAGAGAAAAGAGATTCTTTTCATGTCATTCATAAAGTTCCAGTTGGAGATAGCCCTTATGTTCGTGCAAAGCATCTTCAGGTTGTCACTGCTTTCGCATGGTATTCTTATAGATTGTTGAATGCTTCTCTCTCTATCTCTACCTCTTTCTCTCTCTTCATCTCGTCTTATCTAACTCTCCCAATCTTTCTGGAGGAATGGAAATCTGAAGTTTAATTATTTCTTCGGAGAAATTTGGAGTCGAGATATGTTATAATCATGAGATTTATTTTGTGATTATTATAATATATAATGAATTAATTATTATCTCAGAGTAAATCTGATGTGATTATATATAAAGTTCATCATGATCAATATTGAGATAAAATATTCTGACTTTTTTTTTTTCTGATATTATGGCTTTGGCTATAGATCTGTTGTTGAACTGATTTTGATTATTTTTGTGTTTTTGGATTAGTAAGAAGTAGAGATTTGTTTTGAGCTGGCTAAGCGTATACTGTAGTAGTCATGATGAATATTAAGAAGCTTCCTTGATCTTTAATGATTACTTAGGTTTCTTTCGGGATAGTTTGCTTACTGCTTTCTACACCAACTTTTTAGGACAAAAAATTCTTAAAAATAACAAAGAAATAGTGGTCAAAAGCTGTCCCAAAGAAGCCTTAGTCATTGAATATGTAAGTGACTGTGTGGTTTTAGTTTGCTCTCTATTTTGAGACAACCTTGAGTTTATTATCGTCTTTGGCTAAATCTTAATGTGTGGGGGTTAATCTTTGTGAATCATTACTTCATGTTTATTTTATGGAGTGCTAAGTGATTTGTTAACTATATGAAGTGTTTTAGTTTGTTCTTCATTTGTTTATATTTTCATATTAGTTTTATCTGCTCATCATTTCTATACGTGTTTTGCTTGTTTTTATAGAGGCAACTCGTTTGGGATGGCTTTCTTATTACTTTTTAAATAGTTTTTTTAGTACTAAACAGTTGCTTTAAGAAGCAGTAAAAAAGCTGTCCCAAACGAAGCCAACGTCTTGTTAATATTTTCTTGTGGATAGATACAGTCACACAGTGTAGTGTTTAGGATGCATATCATGTATGCCCTAAATTACCTTTATAAGGAACTGAACAAATGGTTACACACCTCACTTAAAGGTGGAGTTTTCTGAGGGAAGCCTTTGAAGCTTAATTTTGAACCTTAATTGGGTAGGAGATTTATAAGTTCAAATTGACCAATTGGAAGTTGGACGAGCCCTTGGTCGAACTTCGCTTCGAAGATAGACGATGGAGATGGATAAAATGAAACGAGTTGATTTGAGGGGTTCTAATTGTTATAAATAGGGCCAATGATGACTTAACAATTTATGTATATGGTTAGTGGATATGTCAATTTGATGGGTATATTGGCAATATCCTACCTCAAAAAATATATATGTTGAGGAGCTTGGTGATTTTGTAAGATTACATGATAAATCATGTTGTCTTCATGAATCTTATTTGGATGACTATTTTCAAATATAAATATGATATCCAATATGTCGTTAATTCGATCTTGCGGTTTTCGAACATTGAAAAGCCAACCATGGGGATGCATAACTAGCAAGGATTGGATGTCCCAAATCAAATGGAGGTTGCGACTTGAAGTAAACCTAGTTTGGTTGGCCTAGATTTGGCCAATCTAATTGATCCAAGCGCACACTAGATATTTAGGCTTTGTTTGAGATAACTTTTGTATTGTTTTCTAAAACTGTTTTATAGTACAAAATTTTCTTAAATTAAAAAATGTTATAGTAGAAAGTCGTTTAGGAAGCAGTACGAAAGCTGTCTCAAATGAAGCTTTAGTGTGAAGTGCAAAATTTCTCTAAACACTGAAGTGAGTAAAACCTAAGAAGAAAATATTATAGAGGTTCAAAGATAGAGAGATGAAAGATCAAAGGATTGAGATGCTCAACAAGGTAGGCCAAAGAAACAACAAAATCTAAACACGAAAGATAAACAAGTTCTAATGTGTTCAGTCATGAGGTCCATTTCCACAATACCAAATTAGCATGATTTTCTTTTATTATTTGCATCAAAAGTATAGTCCTTTCAATATAGAGATTACTTGTTATAACATAATGCATCATACATCCATCTATGCAAGAATGCACCCCAAACATTTGCAAAATATAGGTTGCAAAATAAAATCTTGATCAAGCTCAGTAATTTCTAGCTTGGCTTATAGCTCATTTTGCAAGAGAGAAATCAGGCTCCCATCCTCTGCCATGGCATATTTATAAGTAGATTTTATCGACTAAGGTTTTGTTTGGGATAACTTTCTTACTGCTTCTTAAAGCATCTTTTTAATTTTTGTACTAGAAAGCTGCTTTAAGAAGCACTAGGAAAGTCATCTCAAATGAGGCCTAAAAAAGTTTTCAAGTTGCTTATGCAATTGTAACCTAGATTGAGCTTTTTTATAATGCTTTAACCAACAAAGCATGTGATGTTCAATTTCATACAAAGCCTATAGCAACAACATCAAATTATAACTCATTTCATATTATGAAACCATTTAGCTAGTAGACAAGGATCTAGATGCTTCCATTGTATGGTTTTGGAAAGCGATCAACAATGGCGATAGAGTCGACAGTGCCCTCAAGGACATGGCATTAGTGATGAAGCAGCAAAATCGACCCGAAGAAGCCATTGAAGCCATCAAATCATTCAGACACTTATGCTCCAAGCAAGCTCAAGAGTCCCTTGACAATGTCCTTATTGACCTCTACAAGGTATACCCTAAAGTTGATAAGCACATAAATATGAAGTATTAAAGCTAACAACTTTCTCTGGTGTGTAACTAGAAATGTGGGATGATAGAAGAACAAATTGCATTGCTGAAGAAGAAGCTAAAGTTGATATTCACTGGAGAGGCCTTCAATGGAAAGACTACTAAAACCGCACGCTCTCATGGCAAGAAGTTTCAGGTCTCAATCACCCAAGAGACTTCTCGTGTGCTGGTAAGAGGCTTCATATATTCTATTGTCTCTATTGATATTGAATAATAATCACATTAGATCCAATTATGCTTTGATAGTGATGTCCCACCAAACTTTGAAATTTTGACTTTGAAAAAAGTAGCCGTTAATACTGAAAAAATGATTCAGTAATCATGAGTGCATTAATATTTCAAACTGGTAGACTTAAATTGAAGACCTTAGGCGTTTTAGGTTTCTTTGCCTTGTGAATTTAACATGGACATAAGGGAAGATATCTAAAGTTTGAATCATAACTTAAATTTTAATTATTTACAGAACTAAGGCTAACTTATCGCTAATTTTCAAGTTTCCACCCAAATATTAAAATTCAAAACATAACTCCAATATGTATTTTTTCACTTGGGACAATTTTTTTATTATTTTCTAGATCTACTGTAGAGAAAAAAAAATATTTAAACGGTTATAGAGAGTAAATTCCTAGCATAATTTTTTTCTTAAGCAACGAAAAAGAAATGGATAAATAGAGATTATTGTTGTGATCTGAAAAGCAAAGCACTAAGAAAGCTATTCCAAATAAAGCCTAAATGCACACCTAATTCTTATTTACATACCTCTAACTCAACTCTCATTTTCATAACTTAGAGATGAGTTGTCTTGTACCAAACCAACTAATTAAGGCTTTGTTTGGGACGACTTTGTTACTGATTTTTAAAACAGTTTTTTAATAAAAAATTAAAATTTTTGTACTAGAAATGTGCTTTAAGAAGCGTTAAAAAGCTGTCCCAAACGAAGCCTAAGACTACATAGATTAGAAGCTCATACAAGTAATATATGATAATAAGCCAAGTAAAACCACTGGAATATAAAGCTAGTTCTAACTATGAATTCAGGGAAACTTGGGGTGGGCATACATGCAACAGGGAAAGTACAGGGCATCAGAAGCAGTCTATCTTAAGGCACAAATGATCGACGCCGATGCGAACAAAGCCTGCAACCTCAGCCTCTGCCTCATCAAACAGGGCCGATTCGAGGAAGCTCGGAATGTTCTCATGGATGTCCTAAGTGGAAGGCTACCGGTAACATCGACAGATACTAAGATTATAAGAAGAGCAGCAGAGCTGCTCCAGGAAACAGAATTACAGCCACAGCCCTGTAATCAGAGCACAGGAAAGAACATGGAGGAGGAAGTGATTGAGAGGATTAGTATCCTGCTAAATGAGTGGGCTTCATTGGAATCTATCTTTGATCACAGTACTATATTTGAGGAGATAAGCCACCAAAGCGATGGGATTGCATGTTAGGTGCCTTTTTTTTAGGCTAAGTTGTTGTTGTGTTGTAAGTTTACATGTACATAGGAAGTTGTTCATCAGATAGTTCTGATGCCTTGTATGTTTTTAATAAGGATTGCTGCTATGTGAAGCAGAAGTTTGCTAATATGTATGTGGAAACTTAAATTTACATAGTTGAATGGAAAGTTTGTAATATATTTGGGAGTTAATTATGGTTAAATACGACTTGCAATCCTCAAAAGATACTTGCCGTCAACAACCTTCTTTCTTGTTTTGCCTCTTGAATAAGGAAAGCTCTATAAATGATCATTTATGCAGAGATGTTTCATCACGAAACTACCGCGCAGGAGCTTGGAGTCTGGGTAGGAGAATCGTCTAGATTTTGTGAGGGTAAACAATAAATATACAGTAAAAAATAAAATTATGTATTTGTTGTGCATATGCTATGTACTATTACAGAATCCAGACGATTCTCCCTTATGAACTCTGCATGTAATAATTTCTCCTGAAACAGGACAAACATAAGTTGAAAGTCTTCTTCTTGTTGGAGCAACAACCCATTTTTTACATTTAGGCTTTGTTGGGACAGATTTTTTTATTATTTTTTAAAATAATTTTTAGTACAAAAATTTCAAATACAAATTTTTTATATTAAAATTTATTTTAAAAAATAATAAAAAAAGTTGTTCTCAGTGAATCAATAATATTGTATAGGCCGATTTAATCAAGCCAATTATTACTATGAATCAAATATATGCATGCCACCATTCTACATAAAATGACAAAATACAAGTCATGCTCGTGGCCGTCGATCTCCGGCGTCGAAAATGCTGACGATGTCTTCATTAGAGACTACATGTGAATCATAAGTAAGCTTACTAATTGTGAAACATGGAGGAAGACTACATGTAAAGAATATGCATAGGCTTTGTAAAATAACGAAACGATCATAAAAAGAAAGCATATCCTGTAATGAAGATGGTTGTCGTAGTAGAGGTAAACTGGGTAAAGTGGACTTTGAAAGGAGAAATTATTCTGTACGGTTGTCGAACGCAGTTTACCATTCGAAGACCAACCATAATGCATCATATCAGCAGTACCAAGCTGGGTACCGAGTGGTACCGAGCCGCAGTACCGAGTAAGGGGTGATGTGGCGCAATTTAGTTAGTCTTCGGATGGCTTTTGACATCTGCATAGAATAATTTCTCCTGTAAAAGGGGTTGAGCTAGAGTCAAGCTTGCAAGTTGATAGGAGATCTGTCTCAGGATCAAGAGCGGGAGGCCAAGCCCAATCCAGTAGGCATCGGGGTCAGTCGGCTATCAAATGCAGGTGGCCAAACTTTGGGTTGGATCTTCAAAGGGTCAGATGGAGTTCTAAGACGAAGGAGGATGCCACGCTCCAATCCTCACCTGTATTGAAGTACAGCTGGATCGCTGCAGTATCTCACGCTCACCCGCCCTGATTTGTCTTATGCGGTAAACTTAGTATGTCAGCACATGCATCACCCATTAAATCAATACTTTCATATGCTCAAAAGCATACTCTACAGTATCTGCAAGGAACTCTTCATCTTGCCTTGCCTATTACACCAGGAAAAAAGACCTTACAACATATGTCGATGCTGATTGGGCAGGAGATAAGCATGAGCGAAAATCCACTACAGGATTTTGTATCTTCCTTGGTTCGACACTCATTAGCTGGAGCACCAAAAAGCAAGCCATAGTAGATAGATCATCTACAGAGTCCGGATACAATGCTCTTATCTCCGCTGCCATAGAGACTATTTGGCTCATTCGCTTGCTGGTTGATTTTCACTCTTCCCACCAGCAACCCACGCTACTTTATTGTGATAATATTCCAGCTATCTCTCTAGAAAACAATCATGCATTCCACGCTAGAATCAAGCACATTGAAATAGATTATCATTATATTATGAATATTATTTATCATATTGCAACAACAGATCAACCTGCTGACATATTTACAAAGGGTTTATGAATCAAACATTTTCTTTTATCTTAGAGACAAATCAACGCTCCGCTCATGAAACATTAATTTGAAGGAGGCTGATAGCGATCACAGCTCAAACTGCTCCACTGTTGAGTATATATCACTATCACAACACAAAGCATTACCTCTGCTCACTGACAGCAGTAGCCGAAACACTCAAGTGCAGAAACTACCAACTCCATTTCAGCCGTTCAGCAAGATTCCATATTAACGGCTTGGTTATCATCAGCTTGAGTTACTCTTATGTATATATACCCTTATACTGATTGCTACAGTTGATATGAATCAAAGAAAAACCTTGTCTTATCTGTATCTTCCCATCCTTTCTTATCTCTGTTTTCTATACTCTGATTTAACATTTGTGTTGCCGGTAAAGCTAAGTTAACACCGCGTCGAGGTCGGAGGGCCGCTCGTGAGGAGGAGGAAGAACTCGGCCACAGGAAAAAAGGTCGGAGGCGGGGCTTCCAAGGAAAAGCAAGCCCATCCGCCTCCTGCCTCCGTGCTCTCTGCTCCTGCTTTTTTGACTAAGGAAAAACAGGCCTCGAACGTCAAAATGGAAGCTCGCTCGCGTTCCTTTCCTTCTCAGCTGCTTGAATACGCGCAAACAGACAGATAACCAGCTGGCTCGAGCTCGTGTGTTACCTAGCTCGTGAACTGAGCTAATCGTGCCACTAGCTCGAGCTCAAATTCGAGCTCGTTTATTAAATGAGCACGAGCTCGAATTTGACGAGGCTCAACTCACGGCTCGAAATTTTAAATTTAAATACTGTTAAAATATTAATAATAATTTTTTGCCTGTATTTTAATTTTCCCACCCTGTATTTTAAATTCTTGCGTGGTATTTTAAATTCCGGTCTAGCTCTCTCTCTCTCTTCTCTCACAACCACATAAATACATAATAATAAATGGCAATATCTCATTATCTCTCTCTCTTCTTTGACATCCACCGAAAAATAAATGGCAAACCTCTCTCTCTCTTCATTCCGCTAGGGTTGTAAAAGATAGCGAGCTCGATTTTTAGCGGAACTCATCTACGTTTGCACTCCTATTCCCGCCCTTAGCCCGCGAGCCGGCTCGAGCTTGTTAACAGTGGGACGAGCTCGAGCTTGCTTTACAACTGACGAGCCAAGCTCCATAAAGCTTAAACTTGACTCGACTCGACTCATTTACACTCCTAACTGTAGATGTCGAGGATCATATATGGATAACTATCTATTAAACTTCAGCCCTCCAATCTAATTTTCTTGATATGAAGAAATATTTAAATTAAATTAAAAGTCGATTGGAGTTTATCAGAAATCAATTGGGCTCATATTTGAAGATTTTGCCTGAAAACGGGTTGAATCGAACTTGATTTGGCTTGCTTCGGATCAATTCGAGTCAGATTTGATTCCATAAAATTAATTTAACGAAGTCAAACCCAAATCGACACTTATTCGAGTCAAATTGAATTCGTCGAGGCCCAATCTGATCGACCGAACATACTCCATGAGAGATGCGTGAAACAAAGAGCTTAACACTTGTTTATTTATTTTTCATGTATTGTTATTTAAAATTTTGATAACTGAAAGCATTATTCTATTTAGTATAATAAGTAAAATATTTGAAATTTAGATCGGTGTGTGTGATATGTTGAGCTGAGTTGGCTCACACTTATTAAGTACTATCTTATTAAGCTTTGAGGCCTGTTTAATTTAAAGAAATATGATGGGCACGATGTATAATTTTTTCACTTATTATATTTTTTTCCTTATAAAAAAATATGTTCTCATATGTCTTACATTAAATTTATCAGTGTGAGGGGGGGCTCCTTACAACCCAAGACATTACATAATCTCTATTACCATGAATATTTATCACACAATAATTTGGAATGATATAAGGATAACATTCTCACCTTCATTGATTATCACATTTGATTATGACTTCATTTGGGACGGCTTTCTTACTGCTTCTTAAAGTAGCTTTTTAGTACAAAAATTAAAATTTTTATACAACAAAACTGCTTTAAGAAGCAGTTAGAAAGTCGTCCCAAACCAAAACTTATATTTCTTTCACACACCCTTATCTAGATATTCAATAAAGGGTACACATCTCCTCAATAATATCATAAATGCAAATGAGGACATCTACACAAGGAGCTAGTCAAGTCTAAAGGGCAACCTTGACTATATCATGGTCACATCTGAACCACAAAGCTAGCTCAAGATTAAGGCAACTCTACTTGGCACAAAGTAATGTAAAAAATGCCACAACAGATACTACTGAGTACTAACATAAAAAAATATGCAGCACAAAGTTGACTCAAGATTCTTCTAGAGTGCAATTTTGGAGAAATTATTCTATGCGGTTACCGAACGGTCCAGAGGCAAATCAGAACATGTCATGTCACCTGGTACCGAGCGGTGCACAACAACGATACATAGCAAAAAAATGACGTGTCGCATTCTCATTCGCCTCTGGACGTCGTTCGGTGACCACAGAATAATTTTTCACCATTTTGAGGGATGTCCATGTTGATATCCAAGAAGCATATATAGTTGAATGGGATCTTAACCTTTTTTAGGAATATTTAGGTAACTTATCCCTCTTTATTCATTTTTTAGTCTTTATTAAAACGGTTTTTAGGAAATTGACACCCCTAAAAATTTGAAAATACTGTGGTCTTTATATAATTGCCCCTAGCAAATAGTAAAGAAAATTCATCATTGAATTCCAAAAATATCCTTCTAAACAAAATTTATGACCGGTCAGATCGAACCCCGTTAGGGGGAGCTGCC